TCTTCCAAACTGCAGCTCCTTGAAGATCACCTTGCTGAAGCTCCTTGTTTAAATGTCAACCTAGGCTTTGTTATCATTGCTTAACTAACTGACCTAGCTGCATAATAGTCCTGTTCATGAGCAAGTCTTAAGCTATTTCATTTGGATACACTTGTTTTAAACTCCTATTTGCAAGTCACTACAAATACCTGCCTGATGTATGTTAACTCTTTTAAGTACAATGAGGCTTAGACTTTAAGACCACCAGTGACTTAGTTAACCAGTTGTGCAACCAACAAGTGATGTGATTGTAGTGATTGTATTATTGGCAGATAGTGTTAGTAGGTGACTCATTCATATGTGTGCCTATTATTAGCTCCCGTCACTTTCAATTCCAGTATTGCGAACTAGGATTAGACATTGATATTGGTGCTTGTTTTCTGTATTTCACTAGTCAGTAATCATATTCAACCAAGGCTCTGTTTTAATATGCTTGTTTAGCCAGAGACTTTCTTGCTGTTAGTTAACAAACCTTATTGACAGATTAGTCTGGTGACCAAGTTGAATAAGAGCATTAATCAGTATTATTATTTAGCCAATGTAACCCTTGTTTCTTGTCCTATTGCTAATGTCTAGGTTTCTTTAACTCATGTGGAAACATAGTGAGTGTCCTGACAGTCCTTGCCTCTTTTGAGGTTCCTGGTTCCTGCTACCCAGTACAGTATCACCTGTGGTCAGTAACCTTCTGTGGAACCTTTCTACCAGACTGGTGAGTACCTGGGGTGTTGTTGTGAGGGGGAGTGCTTGGGTGTGCCTGTGGTGTCTATGAGAGTGATGCAACTACACTGCATTAGTGCTATACATCAGGGTGATCCGTGGACCAGGTAAAGAGTCTACTGTTGAGAAATCACCACAATTTATTAATGCTCTCCTTTCCAGGACCTTTATTTGTCTCCGTGCCAACCAAGACTTCTGGGCTATTGCGTATCTTACTGTAATTTTGATTCCCTTGTGTCACAGGTTAGGATGTTCTGTTTAAAATCATTAATTAACGCAAAGTTGGACCATATTGTAAAATTCGGCTCTTGGACGGAATACTGCAGTCACCCCTGAGGGATTTTCCTCTGGAGGGTGGTTGCCTAGCTTATCCTGTGAATGAGATTTGGTGCCCTAGGAATTATCCTGTAACAATGTCTCTTGGTTTTGTTCTTAGTTTAAGTATAGTGTTGTTTGGGAATTACCTGTTTCATTGTCCCAAATTTGTTCTCAGGGTTGGAGGTAGGCTTAGCTATGTATTGTAGCTTAGGGTGATTGAGCTAATCTTCACATAGCTTTTGTGAACCCCTGTTGACCAGACCGCAACAACGTGGTACATTGACTGTGACATCAAACAATGCAATATTTTGCTGCACCACAAATAAATGTAAATAATTAGTAATGGAAAATATGTTGCTGGAACATTTTGAGAGACTGTGCCTAAGCAGAATACTATATTATTATTATAGTAAGCATACTAAACAATAAAGTAGTTCCTTTGATTGCCACTGCTCGTGCTGGCATCTGAATGCAGGCGCGCCATCTTTCCGCCGTGCGGAAATGGCTGCCATTTTTTTTGGATTGAGGTATGCAAATTCCGCAAATGAAGTTTTCATGCTGATTTTTGTCTGCCACTTTTTTCTAAGCAAAAGAAATTATTTAATATGGCAAATATTTTTTTACTACTGACCTTAGCAGAAGTAACTTTTCAAAATATAGTTTTCACCATTTTTTTCAGGAATTTTTCAAAGCTAGTAAATGTAGTATTTTTGAACTTCCTTTATACTACAATCTACATAGATAGGAAAAATGTTGATGTTTACGCCACTATATTTAGTTTAGCAATAGTCCAATTACTTTTGCTACTAAAACAGTTTTACGCCATGTTGGAGGACTGTCCCCAGTTACCCCGCCCGTCCCAAGTAACCCCTTGGGACGGGCGTAACTGATCAGTTACGCCCGTCCCAAGGACGGGCGGATTAACTGATTACCATTCTGGTAACTGATCAGTTTCAATATATCAAATAAATGAAAGAAGAACATATAGTATTGAAAATCCTGGTGCAATATGATATGTGCACTGGTTCATATATTACCCATCATGATTCCCCCCTGTGGAACACCTGTTTTTGGAGAGTCTTCAGTGTCTTACTACTATCAATAGTAATAGCTTGTTTTCTTGTTCCGTAAATTCTGTTCGGACTTTGGAAATGAATAAAAACTGCCTTTACAAAATCAGCAGTTTTCCTTATTTGGCTGTCATAATTTGCCCATTCACTGGACAAAATTAGTAAAAAATTTGAGATTTTAACATGTACTTCTTTCTCTCTAACTCAGTCAAGATTTCTGTTGAAAATTTGTAGATTAAAGCTGCCTTTATTATTCCTAATTCAGGGCTTTGCATTTGCTTCTGATTTTGGTTTCTATGATCAATTCTCCACCCCCAAGAACTAGAAAGATATAGGCTTCCTACTCACTCTTCCTAGTAATCACCATACCGTGAAATGGGGTTACTTTGACCCGCAGGGTAACTTTGACCACTTTTCGTTTTTTAACCAAAACCCCCAAAACTCAAAAACGATTTGACATAGAAAAATTTTGTCAATGGCCATCAAAGGCCTAAAACTGAGGCTACGTAACACAATAGAAAGATTTCAAAAGTTTGCATATATAATGGGTTAAAAAATTAATAATGTGACCCACGAAAAAGAGCTATTATTTAAAGCCTGTTGGAGTACTCCCTCCAATTTTTGTTATTTTTTGGTAAAATAACTCCAGGTTTTGATGCATTGTAGTAGAACTCTTCTAGTTACATATGCAAAAGACAAATTTTAGGAAAGTGTCATAGTTTGCAAATGGGGGAACTTTGACCACCTAATGGCAGCTGTGACGAGGTAACATTGACCAGCTTGGAAATTAAGTTTAAATTACCATAGGTACCTATATAACATATTTTATGTTTGATACACCTATTAATGTTTTTTTCTTTATGTTTGACTATACAGTTTTATATATGGTAATTTTAACTTAATTTCCAAACCAATCAATGTTACCCTGTCACGGCTGCCATTAGGTGGTCATATTTCGCCCATTGGGGGGCGGCGCCCCCATTTGCAAACTATGACACTTTCCTAAAATTTGTCTTTTGCATATGTAACTAGAAGAGTTCTACTACAATGCACCACAACCTGGAGTTATTTTACCAAAAAATAAAATTGATTTTACCATCCAGTCAAAGAAACCCCAAGAGCTGGGGTAACAAAGACCATCACTTTTTTTGAAATTACATCAAAACTATGAGAGGCAGGAGCCAGCAATTTATGGTGAGGAAAGCTAGAGTATACAGTAAGCGCAATAAAAACTGGCACCTAAAAAATAAAATGTGAAATTCATCTACAAAGCCTAATGAAGGTGAAATAAAAAATAAATAATTACCTTAAAATTTGTTTTAATACTTAGTCATTTGACCTTTTGCCTTCAGGACCCTCTCTAGGCGATTTGGCATACTCCTGGCTAAGTTTTCAAAATATTGAACGTCCATCTCCTGAATCCAGACTCGTTTGATTTCCTTTTTTTAATTCAGGAAGTGATGTCAAATTTGCAATTCTCAGCTTACTCTTCATGTGTTTCCATGCATTCTCAGTGGGATTAAGATCAGGGCTATTTCCACACCATTCCAGGACCTCAAACCCTTCTCTGCAAGGAAAGTCTTCATTTTATTGGACATGTGGCAGGGAGCCTTGTCATGCATGAAAATTGATGTTCCATGAATTTCATAGGGCAACAGCAAATGATCCTTTAAACACTCGATGTAGTGAACACCATTCATTGTGGCGTTTTTTGGGAGGAAATACAAACCCCCTCTAACCATAAGGCCACTGAAACAGCCCCAAACCATGACAGATTCAGGATGTTTCACAGTTTTAGATGTGTACTTGGGGCAAAAGGGTCAGAGCCACTAGGCCTACGGACCCTTTCTCTTCGGTTGGAAAACATCTGAAACGTGCTCTCGTCGCTCCACATCCCTTTTAACCATTGCTCAGGTCTCCAATGAAGATAACGACGGGACAGATTCCATTCTTTGCTTCACCATACACCATTGAGAAGGGGTTTACGTGCCGCGACCCTGCAAGGTAGGCCTAGGTCTTTTTGCAGGCGATGCTGCACAGTACGGACAGACACCTGCTGAAGCAACATCGGATGATAATCGCCGAGTGACTGGCAACACTCATCAGGGTCTCCGTAATTGCCAGAACCCTCCTTTAGTAGATTGCGATATTTACAGCAGCTTAAACGCAAATGAAATTGACCGCGCTAAAACAGTGAAAATGGATGGAAGGGTGCCAGTTTTTATTGCGCTATCTGTAGACCTGTATTTTGCATGTTTCAATTTAAGTTTAACTTATCTAGTGAAAAAATGGCATCATTTTGAAAAAAAAGTTGTCAAAGTTACCCCATTTTACGGTACCTGAGATATGCATTCATGCTAAAATTATCTGAATCAGTAATTTTACTAATGCCCATTTTTCATTTTCCAAATTATTATGCTTATAAAATTTAGTAGAAATACCTAATAGTTAGTAGACTTGATAAAAACCTATGCAACTATTTTGCCCCCACTGTGCAAAATGAACTCTGATTTTTTTTATTACCGGTATGCTGCAAGATTATTTCATTAAAATTTTTATCACATTATGCTGCACTCTCTGTTACTGCTCTGTTGAAAGGTTTCCACTCACTCTCTGTAGGAAGGTTTTCAAGGACACTGTTATTTTGAATGGGTCATTTTACTGTACCAGAAAAATGTGTTCAGTGTATTTGACTCAGTCCAATTCTGTAAAATTATTTTTTAATGCAGAAGCTTGTCAAAAGCTAGTTCATGCCTTGTACTAAGCCAAGTGTCCTCATATCGACTATTATGCACTATAGGTATTATGCACTATTCAATCACTTGAGTGCAATTTCATGTGTCTTTGCTTCCTGCAGACGACTAAATAATAATATTTTCTCTTTTCAGATTGACTATATTCAGTGTATTTAGTAACTAAATTACCATGCACTCTCATTTTTCTTTTATCAGGTGCAATTGTCTATAGCTCAGTTCCAATTGAAGAGTTTCTCTAACTATGCCTGTTGGTGCAGATGGCTTCAGATTGCCTACAGTCACAGAAGAGGCATCCAAACCTAAGATAGAAGTGGTGAGTGGCAATAAAAATGGGAAATATAATCCTCCTGGGTTAATTAAATGAACAAACAATAACTATGGAACTATGGTACTATTGTTATTATATTAATCTTGTCCATTGTAAGCATTCTTAATGCTCACCCATAGTACCAGTACCAATTTTTGGCTAATTCCAAGAATGCTAACATCAAAGAATTGTCTATCATGTGTGCCAAATAAAAAGTTGACACATTATATAATAATATAATAATCATTATATAATTGATGATTCTGATAATTTTTCTTGACATTAATTTGGTATAGCAAAAGCTATGAGAGCAAAAGGTTTTGCTATTATTACATGAGCTTCAAGCTCACAGGTTTTGTGTGGTTGATTTTAGCCATCTTGCTTTATAGTTCTAGAATGTTTTTTTACTTCATATGTTTTGTTAACTAATTTTATAACCTACATAGGTATATGTGCAACATAACCTGAACTTTATATTTTTCATGTCTGTATTATCTTGCAGTAAGATTGATATGGAATCATATGGTTTATTTATATATATAGTTATATATACTGCTGTTGAAGGCATTAACACAAAAATAGACAATTATTAGCATAAATTCATAATTATTGGCATGAAATTGTGAAAATTTTATAATAATAATGAAAGTTTTTAGTCTTCACTATTAATTGTGAGCCATGTGTAATTTACCACTTACTGAATACCCTGGTATTCTTGATAAATTTAGCATAAGGTAATTAATTTTATTGAACATTGAATTAGATGAGTCAGCATTTCATAGTGAAATGTGTAGTTCTGTACCTAATATAATTTCGTACCTAATATAATATAATTTTATTAGGTATATAATAATATAATATAATAATAATATAATAATTAATAATATAATATTAATAATAATATATAATAATAATAATATAATTTCATTGTGCAGCTTGCTGGCCCGAGTCAGTGTGATACTTTTCAAACATTTGTCATCCAAGATGAGGATCACACACTAGGCAATGCTCTGAAGCACATCCTTCTTGAAGAGTGAGTTTATTTTTAGCCTTAATTCTTTCTTATTTATAGTTTAGTTTGTTTCATTGTCAACCACAATAGTATGTCTACGTAATAGCAAACCAAACTGTCTCCTAAAATTTTTCTTTTAAAGTTATAGTCATAGATATACTATTGTTTTCTTTTGAAAAGTATCTTGTGCTCATGAATTATTGGTTACATTATATTGAATGGATTACTGAATTGGCTCCAATAGTAAACACAAAAATCCCAACTGATTCAGTCTATGTTATGATGGCTATTAATTTTTGAACATTTCTTACTCTATGGCTGACATATACTTTTATTTTTCGAAATTGTAATTTCCATGTTAGTCTTATGATGCATGATTAAGATGTAGCATAGAATTTAAATTTTTGTCTAAGACAGTCTATATATGTGACCGGCCAAACCAACCCACCCGCAATGCAGAGAAAATTTATTAATGAAATATGATGATTGATCAAGATCATTAGTTAGGATAAGTCTTTTCTAATTCAACTCCCAGAACCTCGACAACAAATGGTTGAATGAAATGTGATTTATTTTCATCATAACAATTTGTCTGGCAATTTACTTGTTCCATTTGTATACCTAGGCATTCATCAGAGACTTGTAGTGCTCTCTTAAGAACCTTTCCTGAACCACTCACTGTAATAAAAGTACAAATTTAGGGTTAGAACGAAGGTAATAACTCAATCGGGTTCCTCACCAAGCCAGTTTAATAACAGTTTTCTTCGGAGTATTAATGAAGACTTGTTCCCACAAGCATTTATTCAAATACAGTTTATTTACAGCACAGATGAATAATAGGTTGAAATTGGCATACGGGACACGCATCTGAATAGGCAGGAGGCTAACTAACCCGTTGCACACACTACCACCTTCGAGGTAACCTTCGGTCTTGACACTACATTATGGAAAACCCGCTATTTTGTTAGAAATAGTACTTACAACGAAACACTGATATCATTTTCAACTTATACTGCAAACCAAACCGAGTTCACATCAAGTAAACAAAATTAAAATTAGTGGAATAGAAATGGGGAACCGAAAAATATGAATCAAAAGTGGAACATAACTTTTTATCACTAAACTACCTATTTCCCTAGATAAATGCTAACCCAAAGCACTATTCCGTACAGAGGCACTGTTCCCATGCCGTGACGTATCAAAGACGGACGTTCTTTGACTGTCCTGATGAAGTCGCTCGGTCTTCTTCATAACTGTACTTCCGTCTTACTCCAAGAGATATCTCACGCATAACTGTACTTCCGCCTCACTCCAAAAATTTCTCACGTCCCGCATGCTCCTACATCTACTAAGAGCCTTAATTTGGAATAGTTGTAATGGGCTCTACTCTGATGACGTTGCACCCATCTTTTTGCCGTATCTCTGCAACTATGACTGTCCTTTTTCCAGACGGAGAATTGTTAATCGGTGCCCGTTGATTGAATGATCTGATGGTTGGCTTTATAATCGCTGGATGTCTTATAACGTCTTGTGTTGCCCCGCGGCTCAGCCACGGCAGGCGAGGTGGATGCCTTGATGCTGATTGTACATAAATGTAGCTAAGTTGCCATTGACATCTGTGAGTTGTTGTTCTAAAGCAGGAGTCAAATCAACGATTTGAAATTTCTGCGGCTAATAATGTTCGAAACCAGGTAGCTATTGGCCGTAGCCGTCACTGAAGTCTACTAAGTTTGATATCGTATGTGGGTGATGGGTACCATATAACTCCAAGAACCTCCCCGACGCGCATTTTAAATCTTTAATTAGGCAGTCGTCGCGTCTACTTAAGCCTAGCCTTAGCTACAATTATCCTTGCACTGCATGCGGCTGATGGAAACAAACTCGCTCCCACGCTACGTTGTTCCTATCTTTGGGTCTCTCAACCATGCTTGACTTCAAATTTCACACAAATCCATGCTTAGTAGTATCATAATATTAAATGAAATCAGAATTAACAAATTCTGCAAATATACTACCTATGTATAATATTCTCTAACAAAATATTTCGGCTGTGGACTATTAGTAGTCATTTTCTATCCATTTGAACTGGTAGCTTAGTAATGAAGGGTGCTTTAGTTGGCTTTTTGTGTCCGTAGTACGAGTAATTTTAAATTTACTTTGTTCATAACCATTGTATTCAAATTGTGATTTACATTATTTTGAGTATTTTTCATAATAAGTACACAACGGATTTTTAGGAACCTCTCTGATATGGTAGCACACCATTTTAAAGTCTGTTTAGGCTATAAATGCCATGTACACTGTTGCAATGTTTATTGAGCTTGCAAGAAAGTTTTATACACGGCATGTAATGTGTGCATTTCTGTTGCCATGTACACTGTTGCAAGCTTGCAAGAAAGTTTTATACACGGCATGTATAATGTGTGGGCATTTCTGTTGCCATGTACACTGTTGCAATGCTTATTGAGCTTGCAAGAAAGCTTTGTACACGGCATGTAAGGTGTGGGCATTTCTGGTGCCATGTACACTGTTGCAATGTTTATTGAGCTTGCAAGAAAGTTTTATAGACGACATGTAATGTGTGGAAATTTCTGGTGAGCAGCCCGGCCGTGTTGTTTGGAGGCTACGTGGTCCCTCATCCCATGGAGCGACGCATACAAGTCAGGATCCAAACCGTTGCCGGCGAGTCGGCAGTCAGCGTTCTCAAGCGATCCCTTCTTAAACTCAAGCAGCAGAATCTCGCCGTCAAGAAAATGATTCAGGTTAGGAAAATAAGCAATTGTTAATGAATTGGTGTGTTGACCAAAGTCTGAAATAAAAACGTGTCAGGGTGTAATCAAATCTACAGTAATTGTCTGAAGGAATCCCAAGTACTCGTCCCTAAACGCAATATGTATGCTGAAGCTAATATAATGCGATTATTGATGTTTGGATCGTCAAGTAATTCAACATTCAAATTGAAGAATTCCTCAACTTAACTGTATTTAAAATCTATTAACTTGAAAACTTGACGATGCAAGTTCTTAAGCTTGGCAAATACCGTATTGATTTCTTTAACTCATCATTATTTAGTATTCTTGCACCCTATTCTCCCTCAAGTTTCAACTCAAAGTTTCAGGTTATTTTTTGTGTCCTAACGAACTTTATTTTTTTTCGCGCTATTTAATTTAATTTTTTGAATGCAGCAGTATGGGAAGATTATGTTATCATGCGCTTTATTATAAACCAGCAAAGGGTGGCAAATGTCACCTCAGTTGCTTGTAAATATAGTCCTTAATGGTATATGTCTTCAATGATTACCTATGTTTTAGCTTCCAATGCATATATTTGAATACGATGAACTTCCACACTTATTTGTTAAGGTTGAAGTGCACAATATGATGCTAATTTTTGATCGACAGTATTATGATAATGTGCTTTTAGTTGTGACCTTCAATTGCTCGAAGTATTTTTTTTAGATTATACGCCAACCTTATTTAATCTCAATGTAAAACCTTATTTGTCCCCAGGAGGAAGTGGAGCGCTACAAGGCAGCTCATCCCGACCACGTTCAATAAATTATTTTTGTTTGCATGAGTTTCATTTTGTTGCTTCCTTGTCGGGACCTGCTTGTTGATGCCCGAGCCTGCTCATCTGTATTGGCTGACGCTGACCTCTCCTGCATGCCAGTAGTTAATCTCATCAGTGCAGATTTGCTTCTCCCTCTTATCAGTTTGCTACCACTCAAGATTCTTGTATTTCACAGGAAATACTTTTTCTGAATGTTCTCGAGTTACGCCTGTGGGCATTTCGTTCGTTCAACTCTTAGCTTTTTCACATATTTTATTCCTGAAGATAAACGTTCAACCTATTTCCAGTTAGACGCCCTGCATGCCAGCATCTATACAATCAAATTAATTCGATAAGGCCCAGTTTAACTAGTCGTTTGATGTGCATAGATAATATTTTTGAAGATTTTAATCGACATTGTTAGCAAAGTTTAACTTCCATCCTGCTCCGTCTATTGTAGCTCCGATTTATTTCTCGGTCTGTTGTCTTCCCTCCTCTAATAAGAAATGAATTCGAAACTTCTCTCCAAAATAGTCATAGCGACACTAGTCGTTGTTGCACTTGTGACAAGTAATCACTGCGATGCTCTTGAGGAACGTAACGTGGACGTCGGGGCGCTGTGTTCGAGCACCAGCGACTGCGGCAGCGACTTGCTGTATTGCTCCTCGGAGGGCGTGTGTTTGTGCGACGCACAGCGCGCCAATTTTGTTTATGAGTACCGCCAGCACTTCACGATACGCGAGCCCAAGTGCGAGGTGTTGCCTTGCACCATCGCCAAGGAGGAGGAGAGGAATGAGTGTAATTTACGTCACGCGCGCTGCTTGCGGCATCCTGATGGCGACGAGTTGACGGGCTTCTGTAAGTGTCCTGGTCAGCAAGTGGGAGCGCGCAGAGGTAGCGCCTTCACCCTCAGTCACTGCAAAGACGTCATTAACTCGAATGTAGGAGAGAAATGTATCTCGAACCTCTACATTTGCGAGGTCAGTAAGAAGCTCAAGTGTAGAGATGGTAGTTGCGAGTGCTATGATGGTCACTTGTTCAGTTTCGAAGAAAACATGTGTATAAGAGAAGAAGAATACGTCCAAAAATACGGCTACGACCGACTGGGTAGTTACGGTCAGTATTGCAGCAGGTCTTCGGACTGCATGAGTGGAATGTTCTGCCAGAACAAACGTTGCGACTGTCCCTTATTTTGCCGCAGTGGCGAATACATTAAAACTCCAGAAGTTTGCTACTGCGCCTTCGACATGACGCGCCTGGCATACATCATCCCATGTATCGTGATCACCATCCTGTTCATCCTTTTCTTCTCGGGATTGTGCTACTTTAATCGCAAATACAACGAATCTCTCCGAGCTCAGAGCAATCTAGTTCTAGTGCATGGACGCGGCGGCAATACATGTCGGGGATCTCCACAGTTCATCTACGGTGACTTGGCCAACGAAGTTAGGCGATCACCAATGAGGTCTCCGCTGCGGTCGCCGCTACGTTCGCCTATGATGTCCCCCATGCGATCTCCGTGCATAGCTCGCCCCTCCCGGCCCTACTCTCTCCTGTCTGCACAGGCCAACGCGCAGCAACGTCCGCTGCATGAGGAACCCGTGTGGGATAATACGAACACCGCTTCTCCTTCCGAGTCTCCGGAACAGACGGTCCCGGGTGTGAACATAGATGTCCAGCAGCTGAGCGTGGGTAATTTTAACTCCTTTTACCCACCTCCTCCATATCAGCTGAACGAACTCGTTGCCGCAGGTGTGGTTGAAGCTCAAATGCGACAGCCAAGTCCTGTTCTGTCTCAGTACCGCGACCGTGACTAATAACACAGACGCTTTAATTGTGGTCATGAGTTAGTTTGTTCGGACCCTCGTCGGTGCAATTGAATGTAGTGAAATATAAATGTTACATACAAAGGTCTCAGGCGCAGAGGGTTCCGTGATCGCGAATCTACGAATTGGAAATTGTTGATTGCTGAATCTAAGAACTATTCATGTGAATATGTCTGGCTCAAGCTTTGACAATTGTGCATCTTCCTCTATGCTTGAACAATTTAAGATTTCGACATGTGGAGTTGTTTTTCATTCGGTGCGTCGCTGAAATCCATTTTCAAAATATCGTTTATTTTATCGGATTTTCTCATGGCTTACTGCATTTGATATCTGTATTGGACGATAATCTTGTAGAGCAGTGTTTGCTATTTAATCGTAAGCTTCTACCATCGTTATGGTGTCCTCGAGCTGAAGCTTGGCTTTTTTAGGGTAGTATGTGCGTGATCCTGTAGCTGTTATCAATAACTGGAGGGAAGTGACATTTTTTCGGTCGGTATATTTTTGACGGTACGAGGTTAGCAGGTTTTTTACTTAGATATAGAAGAAAGATTTCAGTAGATAGATGGGAGTTAATTAAGGTACACTGGTCTTCTTCCGACTGCAAATAACATTTTCAATATGCTGTGTCTGAGTAAGAATTATTATTTGGTATCATTTATTTATGGAATAGTAATATAATGTTAACTTTGTAACGAAAAGTTGACAATTTTTTGTTGAATTTTCATCGAACTTACAGATATAGAAGTTGTTTTCTCGTACTGGATCTCAAACCATCCAATAACAAACGTCGGCTACGTTAAAAGTTGCTAATTACGATGATATTTAGCGATTACCAGCAAATTTGTTGAACACCTTTATTATTTAAATTGTGCAATAGGAATGCAAACGCGGTTATAATTTTTTATGTTTACTGGTAGTGCATTATTTATTTACGACAGGTGTTTGTTTCCTTGATTTATAAGTTGAGGTGCTATCGGTTTTTATGTTACCTATCTGTATTGGTAGCACGATAACGGTCACCACGAATGCTCCGGAAGACAAACAAAGAAAAAGCAATGGTTTTTATGTTACCGGTAGATTGTTTGCTATCGGTTTTTGTTGAGTTGAGGTGCTATCGGTTTTTATGTTACCTATCTGTATTGGTAGCACGATAACGGTCACCACGAATGCTCCGGAAGCACACCATGTTACATTTATAGATCAATTGTTTAGTTGCATAGATTTTGACGAGGGTTTTTGTGTCTGTTTCAAATTTATATCAAAACAATATGTAGTATCTTCAAGAAGCATGTTGTGTAACATTTTTACGAACGGTGTTCTCGGCTGTTGCCACCGATACTGCGTCTCTCACACAAATCAAACAGAATCTTTCACTTCTATCATGTTACTACGTTTCAGTATCTATAACTAATTACCTGACTTGAATGCTTACATTGTATTATTAATATTATTATTAGCGCTACTCACGGTACAAAGATATGTTTGCGTATTGAAACTCGCAATAATTATCTATAAAGAGCAGATTATCCATCACCATAACTCGCGCTGTGAGGATGGAGGCTAATTTTCTGTATGTAATTAATTTCTGTATGAAAAAAATGCGCATGACAAATTTCTGGGTGGGTGGCGAGGGATGGTGAATTTGTCCATTTCGACGTTACTTTTGTGTACGCGGTTTTAGATTCAGAGAGAAAATGTCTTGTCGGAGTTTCTTATAGTGGCAAGTAGAAGATTTTTTTTGAGCTTCTTAGAAAAAATTCAGTTGTTCAATCGCCTGTAAGAAGGATGATCACTTACGGTATACTAGTAATAACTCGACTAAAAACTCAAGAAGCTCAACAATGCGACAATAGTTATTCATTATTTTGACGTAAACGTTGATCGTGTTTACTCTTAGTCCTGAGTTCGAGTTCGTACTCATTAGTGATTAGTTTAACGGTCTCAATACGCTTATACCTTCTAGAGTAGCTCTGTTTTGGAGAGTTCTATGCTTGTTGACGATGTGCTTTACGGCATCAGTTTAGACTTGTGGTTATTGTCGTTGCATGGTATAATGTTCTTATATTATCTATATTAGGCCTCTATAGTTCTTCTTAAGGTCTTGTAGTTTTAAGTCTATTGCCTAAGTCGATACACGCCATTTCCGTGCTGCCCGGGAGCTCGTTTCTTTGTGAAATCTTCATTTGCATTTAAAATTTTAATGAAATTAGTGACCGAGGGAAATATTGAAAGACGTTCAACTGTTCAATTTGACACAATCATTTGTAGCAATCCAATGTACAATGATTACAATAATAATAACTTTCATTGCAAATCAATTTATTAAAAGAGTTTGGGTTATCCGAGTTTATGAAAATTGTGCAGCCTACAGATACTTCTTGGCAGAGTTTAGACCCTTCTGAAAGGTCTGCTAAGACTACTTAGCAGACCCTTCTTTTGGAGCTACAAATTGGACCTCTAACTGAGTCATGTGTCCATTATTAATGATTTGGCATTTTTTCTCGATTTTTTCACTATTCCAAAGGTCACATTGGTTAAATGTCGTATGAACTGCTAACAGGCATCACTTCTGAATTTCCAGAAATCGGCACTGGTGATCGGTTCGGGGATTTTCGATGCAGCCGTTGTAGGAGAACATGCCGAACTCTCCTCTTACTGAACTTAGAAGCTCATATGTTACAAAGTCTCGTGTGTGCCAAGTTAAGGGCGAGAATTAAGGTAGTGTGTAGCTTTATCCTGTGCAATTTGCTCATCGTAATTTTACAAAACACACCGGGAGCTAGATACTCTAATGTTATTACTGTGCTTTAAGCTGCTTGATCTCTCGCGTCTTCGTTCGATGGATTTGATTTAAAATTTGCATGGTTAGATGCTTCTCATAGGAGTAATTATTTATGAGTATCTTACTATTATATATCTTGTCATGTTCCTTGTGGTCAACCTAATTTTCAACTTAACAGAGCTACCTCTCTCTATGTTGAACTTGCAACATAGTCTGCGTCAGGCCGTTTGCAGGCCATTGCTATCAGTTTACTATTCAACCCACGCACACATTTCAAAGAATTATTCCGTGAGATGTACCCCGTATTCATCATCTTAACTAAATACTGTGAAAATTATATATATGAGATAGGTAAATGTGAGGTTTTTCGATATCTTAAATAGTTGAGAAATAGCGTAGAGATCGTGATGTGGCATCTTGCTGTTTCGTGTAAATATTTATTGTTGGCATCATAAAGCGGAATTTCTTTCCTGTGACCTTGATTTAACTAGAGTTATAAAAATCTACATTGATTTTTTTGCCACTGAAAGCTCCGTTTGGGTGCGGCGGGCGGCGAAGAAAAGCTTTGTCAGTCCTTTCTCTAACTAAAATATTATCCAATCGAGTTTTTTCCATTATTATAGTTGCTCTAAAGTATCATTCACTATCACGTGTTTTTTGTGAACATAGTGCTTTCTTTTTTCCGCTCCTCTTTACTATTACTTATGCAACTTCAAGATTGCATTCATCACACGCGTTTCTGCTGGCTTGCAATTTAACTGATCGACATACGCGTAGCAAACATAAGGAATTCGAGGCGAACATGAGAGGGCTCCTATTTATTATTTACCGCGCATCTTTTACACTGGCATTTAAGAGTTGACTAGTAGTACTAAGGTTATATCTTACCTCCTATTCACGATGTATAATGACTCGATGGATTAGTTCACAGGACTCGAACGGTTCTACGGTGACTCATGTTTTTCTTTTTAATTTACTAAAAGATCAATTACTAAATGCACAACTTTGCAAAAAAAATGTGCCAACTCTGTAGCAAGGAACTAAATTTACTTTTGAAATAAGTCGTATGAATATTTATCGTTGTGTTTTTGACGTTGAGAACTCCCTTCCCTGTTTGCATTGCGAATATTCACCGGGCAAATGTTGTACATGCCGCCATTACAAGACGCGTAAAATATTCAGAAACATCACCGCAGCTCGAGTGGTAATGTGATGATGGGGGCTAAGGAAGCTCTTTCTATTATTTAAGACGGAATTCCTATATGAAGAAAACTACATGATAGTTTCCCGCACGAAGCTCACGGAGTGTTACGAACGATGACCGTAGCGGCGGTTCGGATACAATCATTGCAATTAAGCTCCTGCATATTCTGTAAAAAATCTACGAGTTTCATCCGCAAGCCAACAATTATAATTAATTACAGAAAGTATAATAATGACTGGTAACATACATAGACCTGTTGTCAGTTTCATCATCTTCTGGTCGTATTGAAGTGTACTTGATTGTTGCATGGGATATTTTGGCGTACATTTAGACATGTTTTACTCGTGTAAAGTTGGACTCAAATCAGAGGATATTATATGGTGATAGCATTGTGGTGCTGCGTATAGTGTGAAGTGTATTGCCATCACTATTATCCTCCAGTGAATAATGCAGTGCATCCCGCACTCACGATCAGTCGACCTAACATGATTTGCATCAGGCTTTGGTGTGTGCATTGTCAGTGCAATCTTCTGAATAGAAGAAGACGTGAATAGAAAGGATAATAATTTGTTTATGTGTAAACTCGTCATGTTATAGACTTTAAGTCGCCTTTCCGGTTGTTATTGTAATTATTACGAGTCCATGGCTCTGGACGAGCAGCATATGAATTATTACGTAAACATTCGAGTTTATTTTTTGTTACCGCGGACTCTGCACAGTTATAGTTCAAGAAAAAACAACGGTCAGTTCATTCATTGATATGTTATTTTTTACCTATGAATACTGAGCTCTATTTAATTATTTGAATATTTTAAAATATTCCCTATCTTGTTGTATTTAATTAATTTTACCATGTACTTGAAGTATCCAATTTCAAGGATACATTTTACGCTTGAAGTTAGCTGCCGACTTGCAGTTGGGCTGAGCTTGGCATGGATCGTCTTTTGGAGTTCAGTTGAGTTGAGAGCTGCAAGCATTTACGTCTCATCGTCCGAGTCGGAAAAAAATTGTGGGTTGTGATCGTTCCTGAATTTAACCATTTTAGAAATCGTGTAGAGATAATATCATTCTCCCTAACTCGGCATTCCAGCTGTTAGGACCGGTGCGTTCTGCAGCAGAAAATACGCGTGGTACTCTTGTCTAAGTTAGTTGACCGCTTGTTAGTTAATTTCCCTATGTACGGACGATCCAATTATTTGGACTCGAGTTGTAAAGTATAGGGCATAAATTCAAGATACTTGTCTCCACCATGCTTCACATTAAAAGCTTTTTCAAAGTTAAATATTAAAATGTAAAAACGATTGCGGTGCACCGACGCTCTTTACGAACGATATGATAGTGTCAGTTTGTGTGCATTCATTACGGTTGTTTGACTTGCGACTTACGATGATGCAGTTGCTTATTGAGATTTCAGCGCAAGCTAAATTAGGAACGCTGCTCAGGTTAACGAGCAGAAAGCTCTCAACGACAGGGTACGCGCTTTGGTAACCGTGCTTCGCTAGCAGCTTCGTATGTGCTTCCTGTCTCCCTCTACTCTTTAAGGCAGCTTCCGGTCTGAGCTTTCACTGACAATCTAATTTGCGAGTTATTAGAACATTGGCGCAATCTTCGTCTCTTCAATGTCATGATGGGTGTTCTAGATTCAAGATCACTCGGGTCGTGGTAACTGTTTCAATCAAGTGAGATCGTAATGAAGGCCACGTTTTTAGTGATCCAAAAGCTTAAATCAATCTCATCTTGTCCATCTCCGCTCATATTCGTGGCAGTAGACGTTTATCCGTGTCATGTTGATCTCTGATTCCCGATGAAGAATAAGTGACAGGATATTGCAAGCTTTGATAAATGAAAACTAAGTTAATCCATTTCTATCCAGTTTTGGTCGCCAATAATTTGCGCTACATTAGATTAGTTGACGTAAATCAAATCAAAGTAATTGTGTAGATGCACAAAATTGTAAAGCGACGTTAATTTCTTCTGCCCGTGCGACATGATCGCCTGCAATTTCGTAAGTGCTGTTATATATTTCTAATCTACATGTTTGAACACCTCAATTATTTTCGGCATCATAACTCTCGGAGATACGCAACCCCATCAAGTTCTCATGGATTTTGCTGACACATTCGTAATAGAATTTCTGCATTGCTTACACCCTTACAGTAATGAAACTGTTTTTCATATCACATATATTAAGTACATCACGGTATAGACTTCCAATAACAATATACACAGGACATAAATCACTGTAGTGTACAATTCTCGACATCTATAAACCCGTCGTTATTCGTATCGATTGCACTCGGCTCTCAAGCGACATGGCATAGTGGGCTTACGATAATTACGGGGTCTCTCTTACATATTCTGTTACTTGCGAAGTGTAACATTTTGTTGCGTCCGCTAACTCAAGTTATATTATCTAAATATCTTAGGATGTTTAACCTTCATTTTGCATTCAATGGATTAGTAAGCCAACCTTCGCTGCCAATAAACCGTACAAAAAATGTTTTTCATTATCCGTTCCTTGTTCTGCGGAGCTTATCAGAATATCCGTGAAAAAAACTCAAATTGTGCACAGAATTCAATAACGAGCAACAAAAGCCATATTCTAGGTACCTATTACTTGCTAGGTTACATAAAATTCATGTGTTACTGGAGCAGTAGTAATCCATTTCCTTCATTTGCAACAAATGTAGTTCAAAGTATTTCTGCCAAAAAAAGGTATCTTTGGAGTGTCTCAGAGTATCATATTAGTTGCGGCAACATTGAAACAGTAGGCTGATCATTGTGTGTGATATGACCTTATTACTGAGCACACGCTCAAATTTAAGCAAGTCAATGGCAATACATGCATTCATCAGCAGAGTTGGGGCAGCCTTGGGGATGGTTTGCTGAGAACCAACAAGGACGCTGGCGTTTCTCGAACTCCGCAACTCTCCCTGGTGCCTGAGAATATGCAAATATAATAGCAATTATTCACAAAGAAAAAATTCAAACCATCTCAGGGAGAAGGAAAACGAGGCATTTCGGCATTCCTCTTTTGGTGTAAGAAAATGTGCAAGGGATCAAATGTGTAATTATAATTTGTCATAAGATACAAGTACACCTCTATTTCAAGAGCACCTAAATCGGATGAAATTTTTCGTGCCTCGACTGATTCCGTGATAAACTTTTTAGAAAGGATCAAATCTTTACTGAAGCTTGAGACTGAAAAATTAAAATTCTAAAAACTATTGTATGTTACACTATTACGAACCCTGAGTTGGACTTGGCTTCCTTGTAGTAAGAAGATGTGCCTGTGGTTCTTGAGGAGCGTCTTGAGGCCGCCACACTCCTGCTTCATTTGCCGCAGCTGTTCTGCAGTCAGAGAAGCAGCAGCGTCACGAAGCTCGATGCTGCCTCCCGCCCACCATTCCTCCTTCTGAACACAGAAACTTAATAAATATTTTTTTTAGTAGAGGAAACTAAAATGTTATAATATTGATCTACAATGTTGAGAGAGCCACACCATCGTTGGATTATCTATTCGCTTTTGGCTAGAATTTTTTGTAGCTAATTTAAATTTTTTTCAAAATTAAATACTTCTAGATGAGATACATTATTTCTTGGAACAACTTCATTGCATGCTGCATATGAGTAAGATAATAATTTCAATACTGTAAGGAATTAGTAGAGTTAATTACTCAGGCATGATGATCTACCTTGTCACCGTCGCCCAACAAAAGTCTGACCACGCACTGCACGAGGTCTTCTTTGACGCCCCTGGCGAGTTGTGTGCAGTTACGCACGCGCTGTTCTTTGGGACGAGCTACAAAATCGCCGGATCTTTTCAAGTCAGTACCACGACCCAAATTGGACACGTTGGCAGCAACTCTGGAGTCGATGAACTCTTGAATAGACGTCAACACCGAAGGCCTCTCTTGCTCCGTGTGCAATTTCGAGCGCCCCACGAAGCACTCGCGTTTCGTCGAAGGAATCTTGAGACGATCTCGCTCTACATTGAAGCCACACACGCGGCCTATGACTTCGACGTAGTCCAAGTAGTCGCCGTATTGACTCTTCTTGGTGTTGCGTCTCAGGAATCTGACGGAGTAATATATCGTAATTGTTGATATGGTCTCAGCCAAACGAACTTAAAAGTATAAAATCATTAATTAATACGACACGCAAATGTTACAATTGAGATGAAAAAATTAATAAATTTTGTTCACTTGACTCTTAATTATATTATTTAACATGGTTAGGTGAAAGTCATCAAGTTACCGCTACTCCAGTTGGGGGTTATTAATGGTTCAATGTTTCGATTAATTCAATAAACCAAATCCATATTATTCAGTGGCAGACTTACACTTTCAGAATAATCATCAAAACGTATCATAAATGAAAAGTTATGAAGCCAATATGTGAAACAAATGATGGATAAATATCTCAAGACCCGAAGGGAATAATTCAATTGCAACAAACTGCCAGCTCACATTCATGACACTAAGATTAAGCCTAACAACAAATAGCAAGGGAGTATCTTCAGTGTGATGACCAACTGTAAAGTTTGCATAGCTATTGCAAGCAACGAATAGAGATAAATATCAGACGAGTTCGGACTTCTTGTAGATACAATTTTAATTATCTCAGGAAAAAACATGAATGCTTCGACAGCTATGAGCAAACGCAGGTTGAATGCATTGAAATCAGCGCGACATTAAGGGATATCAGATACAGTGGAAATAATTTCCCAAGTGCAACAGGCAATAAAGATTGCGGATGCTTGAGCTAGCAGCACAGACTTGGTGGTAAAGTCATGAGGGCAGCAAGGCAGGAGGAAGAAGGAGCAGAAGTGTGAGGTGCGGGCAGCCATGACAGGCAGCCAAGGCGTGAGCTCGTCTGAGTGGTTACCGATGAGCCAGTCCACGTCTGCGCTAAAACTTGTCGTGTTTGGTGTCACTTCCAGCTCCTGCAAATACAATTCATTAAAAATAATTTAGTTGTGCTGATTATATCAACTGCAATTCAGTGATATGCGCTACAGAGCACTCAAACTTTCTAAAAAGTGAAATGGTGTAAAAACTCTCCAAAAGTCAAACGTTAGAAAATTGGGAGTGATAACGCTTAGTAGTGGCTCATCAAGATGTCAAACCAAGTAACCATCATATTAAAATCAACAATTTTGTAAGTAAAGTAAGACGAGCTAGTGAGAAATCCAGTAATAATCCTTGAGTAATAATTGTGAACTTGTATTTCATGATAAGGCAGGCTATTACTTATACTAAATGAAACGTTGTGAACCTGCAAATCAATATCAGAGAAACGCTCGAGCCAAATATTGCGACTCTTGATGTCGTAGCCCGTGCCACAGTGGCCCTCCTTTGTCAGGATGTACACGAGCAGGCCGTTGCCACAGCCCAGGTCTATGAAGCGCTGAGGGCGGCTATGCTGTGACCACAGCAGCAGCAGGTACGTCGCGATGCCGATGTCTTCGTGTACAAACTTCTTGGGGTCAGTTCGCTCAGACCACGACTGTGGGAAAATCTGAAGTCTAGCATACACATTGTATGACTTGTTTCGAGTTATTATGAAGGATGAAGAAGGGAATAATGACATGTATGAAAAAATTCAAACAGCAATTTATTTTTATAAATATCTCACAATAATTATCTCAAAAAAATTGCTAAGACCTTGATGCCCCGAGGCTGAACACATGCAGTTACTCCGACATCTTCACAATGCAGTTAATTATAAGTACAGTTCTATGGTGTTGTAAAGTAAAGTTGAAATTTATTTTTCAATAATGAATAATAATTTCATCAATGAGGAGCACCGCAAACTAATCAAGATAAACAAACTAATAATGTAATACCTGAATGAGATGATTGGCATACTTGGTCTTGAGGTTGTGGTAGAGAAGACCATAGGACTGGAGATTGATGAGCTGCAGAGACCTGATGGCAGTTTCCTGAGATACTCGCTGTTGATGTATGGAACATTTACTTGCAGACTCATGCTTAAAGAAATATTAAGTGAATTTATTGGCAACAACTGCACCCATGATAACGTTTACCGTAAATGTCCCCTGTCCCAATGAAGTTATGGTATTAATTCATATGCTAAGCAGTCATAAAAAATAAATACATGAATAAAAATCTGATGAAAAGACACAAATGACTATTATTCCGGTCACCACAACATTTTTTCGTTCTCTTTTTTCAAAATGCCGTCTTTTAAGTTAGAATCATCTCATTTTAAATTAAGGAAATTAATCAAATAAAGCATTTTTAACTATCTTGTCTTTTCTGAATGCTGATTAAAGAAATGTGTAATCGAAATTTAATTGCATAGCTCAACTATTGCCACACATTCTCATTCTCTTTACAATCAATGAAGAAAATATCCAACTATTAAAATAAATTACAAGTGTCAAGAACCAGAGTCAATGTATAGAACGGACGACAACAATGTATAGAACAGACGACAACAATGTATAGAACAGACGACAACAATGTATAGAACAGACGACAACAATGTATAGAACAGACGACAACAATGTATAGAACAGGCGACGACTCACGGGCTTAGCCCACTTGTGCAGACGAGGCAAGACTGTGCCTTGTAGCCAGGCTCTGCCGTCGCCTGTAGGCCCGCCTTCTGCCGTCACTGTGACAAAACAGGAAGCATTATATATTGCAGCTGATAGCAAGGAAAAGGAACCTTTCATTATTAATTCGATCAATTACTGAGAGGACTCGAACAAAAGAAAAATCCTTAGCAAATTTAAACTGCAAGTCCATTTATGAGCTTAATGAATTGCTCTTAACAATAGAAGCGCTTCTGGAATTGAAGCCTCTCCGTCTACAGTGCCTATGAAGACTCTCTGTCTACCGTGTATTTAAGCTAATTAAAAAAAATGTAACACAGTACTCACGGCAGTGAGTGACAGAGAGCGCATTTTCTCGTGCATAAATCAGTTTTCATTGCGATTAGTACAGTGCATTAGAGCTAGAGATGTCGTATCTTTGATACAGGCATGCCCGCTTCTTAAAATCGACGAAAACGTGAAGTCACGGACGGACAGACGGACATGGCGAGCACAATAGTGCATTTTTTCTATTAAGAGAAAATGCGCTAAAAATTGATGTGCATTTAGAAAAGAGAAGCAGGTTAAACTGTTCAATGAAAACCAGTTAACAAATTAATGACTTGACTTACGTTGAGGAACACCGGCAAGATAGGTGCTCTTAAAGAGGCCACAGACAGCGATCGTCTCGCCCTCAACAGCAGCTCCAGCAGAAGTGATGAGGCTTATCATGTATGGTCTTGCTGGCAGTAGCGGCGGGAGCGCGGTGCTGTTCAGAAAAATACAGCAGTCGTTCGCGCCATCTGTGTTTTGGATGGAGTTTTTGTGATTTCATTCTGTTAATTGCATATGTCTATATACAATATAGCTTTTCATGATTGTAATGGACATAATTTAATCACAAGAAATTATAACATGTACAGAGTTTAGTGAACACTTTAACAAATTAATTTTGAAAACAAGTGTTCCATGCCTATCAGAGGGCTCACAGCGCTGGCAAAGACTCTTAAGGATCAAGTGATGCTAATTACAAGTCGAGAAAGTATTAATGGCTTTTGGGCTAGATTAATTCATATCTTGAGTACTAAAAATGATCTTGATGACTGACCCAAAACGATGACTTCAAGAACAGTGGCGTAGCGTTCTTGTAGTTTAGGAAGAACCTTTCTCACCACCACGCAACAACTGCATTTCTCCAGTGACAACCAGGCTTCCGCTAACGCTTCTGCAAGCAGAATTTAAAGCCCTTTATAGTTTATTTTGTTACGTGCACCGTGATACATTACAGTATGGTAAGCTCATTACATGCAACATGACACGTCATAGCAAAGTTCTAGTGCCTTGCACTAGAAAAGTTTATTTCAGAATACATTCATATGCCATTTAGCCTGTTATTTAAAAGATGAATCATAATAATGTTGAAAAATAAGTATTTTCACCTTTTGAGGTGAATTCTTTGAACCCAATTTCTGTAAGCTTTCTAGTCACTTTTGTCTGCAGCTGCATCATCTTTGATTTCGTGCTACACAGTGAAGAATTAGCTGCAAAGGGTTCGCCAGGACTCTCATTAAGGTCTTCAACTTGGCTTGCTGAATTGAGAACTTGCCAAATAGAAGCTAAATCCGACAGATGTAAGTTCCGAGAATTGGGGGAAAATTCATAATCAATTATTGTTGAGCTTTTGGTATTTTGGTATCCAGGTATTTTATTCACTTCAACTTGTAAATCAAGTTTATTATTTTTTTCTGATTTGCCAGTTGCATCCGAAATCACTTGTGTGGGAAAATTATTACAAAGAATGCCCCACCAAATGTCGACTGCGCCGCACAAGCGTCTGTTGAGTATATGAGGTCGTTCAACGTGGACTTTGAGTGCTTCCCAGAACGCTTGCCGGTCTGAAAATGATCCTGGTAATCCAGGTGATGTATATGCGTCATTGCTCTCCAGACAACAGCAGCCAGACGACACATCAATCAAGTTGTTTAAGGGTATTTCATTAGACATAACAGCAGGTGCTTCCACAATTTTGGCTTTCTTGCTAAGTGTAGGGGTGGCCCCGTCCTCAGAATCGTGGTCCATATTATGCTTCTCCATGATAAGATGGTGAAGATTTTACTCTATCTTTTTGTACTGAAACAAATTGTAAATATAGAAAATATGAAAACACAGGCAAAAATTGGTTGATAGATAATAGCTTGCTTGTGATATTTTAAACAAATTCACTGCCATTAGTCTGATAAGTTAAATTATTAATTATTAATATTATTTAATTTTAATAATTTAATTATTAATATTATTAATAATTAAATTAAATTATTAAATAAATTGGCATCATGGTTATAGAACTTCTGCAAGTTAGTATTTTTAAAGGTACACCTAAGAGAACATGATGTTTTAACTGCATAGTTAAAGGATTGTACCACCAGATGGAAAGTAGGGCCCTAAGCTTCATTTGGATACAAAATTATGGTCAAACTAGTTAGCATATATTCACCAAATTATCCTCAGTGAACAATACCATCAAAATTTATAAGTGTTCACATGGTCCAGGTTGTATTTTAGAAAATATAAATTCTGACATTAATTGATGCCCAAAGCTTGTCATTGTGTAGAATGTTTTTGCACCAAAAATTCAACCAAATACATTTGAATTTCTAAAATTGTTTAGGCAGGGGAACACTTCAACTGAAAGTGCTGCTGAAAATTTTGATCATCTCAAGATCTGATGGGTACATTGTACAGAACACAAACTAAATGATGCTGGGAATTACTCTACACAAATAATACCTAGCTAGAAGATTACAAAAACTTTGATGATAATTGGTCCTAATTATTCCAAATACTGTAACATATGAAGCAAACCATCATATGATTAATTTGATTCATGATTTCACACATTATAAATATGTACCTACCTTAGATAACACCCAGTCAGCATCTGTTATAGTTCGCTGAATTATACGATTTATTCTCTCAGGATCATCTTCTTCCGAGTGTTGTCTGAAGCCCTGCACACAAATAAACTTGGTTATAAATTGCATAGTTTCTAAATGAACCCTAAACTATAAACATGATTCAGAAGTACTCATCACCACAATCTGTTGCAAAAATCAACACGTCACAAGTCTGTGGAAGTACAAAAATTAGATCAAATCACCTAACCCTTGAGATGATTTCATAGGCCCCAAATTACAGCCTGGACCAGAACACAATGCAATTGCTGCAACTGCACTCCATGCAATCAATCTTGCAACTTGTTTTTAAGCAAAAATGGATACGGTATATCATAGAAGAGAGAAATCTGGGTCAAATTTTGGGTTTCATTTCATTGAGATGGGTCTTAACTGGAGTGAGATAGAGCACCTAGTCATAATTATACATAATATGTATTATATGCATTTTAACCCCCAAATTGAAGTGGGGTTTCAAGAAGATATCACTTATAAGCTCATATGTGCATTGGAATTTTAGAATTGAATTGTTCTTGGATCAAACATTAAGAATCAGATAGAATCATTCCAGTATCTGTGACTGTTAAGTTAGAGACAAATGAGAAGAAGTGATTAGTCATAAATTAATATTTAGCTTTGGTTTCAATTGATAAAGCCAAAAAATTTCATCAAAAGGAAGCACACTAGATTATTAGTCTTGTTATGAAAGATTTATGTGGCTATTTTACTCATTGTAAACTCCAACTTTGCTGTCCCATTTATGACCAAGTTACTACAGGAGTAAATCAGATTACAGAGAAGAGCTTTCATGATGAAGAAATTTAAATCTTTATGGGTGTTAATAGCATAGATTGACTTTGAACAAATACACAAAGAATATCATGCACTCAAAACACGCTTCAAATGATTGATTAGTAAGCAAGAATAATGATTGGGGGAACAGTTGACATTGAAATAGGCCTAAATTCCGACTCAGGTAGTATGGAAATCAGTCAAAAGCTCTTACCTTGTGGCATTCAATAAATGATAGAATGGTGATGCTCTATTGGCAAATGTCACCTTTGCTAATGAAATGATTAAAAAATTGAAAAATATTGGCAAAAGTAAAAAAAAAACATAAAAATCAATAATACAAACAAGTTTTTTTTAAAACTAGCAAGTCATCTCAAAGACCTGCCACTAATAGTACAATCAGAGACTCACTTGTCGAACTGCATGTTTGTAATGATCACATGGGTCTGTAGGAAGTTTTTCACATGCTCTCATGAGATACTTGTACAATCTTTTAGGAGTTCTTATAGCTGTGGCAGGCTCAGTAAACTTACATAAAAGTGTAGGAAATAGCATTCTCACACTCAACTGTTTGATTTTGGTAATGTTGCAGAATTTATTATAATTGAGATTTCAACTAAATTACTGTAAAGTTAACTTCCTGTAATGAAAATGATTTCTCATAGGTAAAATAGGGATGACTGAAATAGCCCAGGCTGCCCAGCATTGCCCAATACCAGAATAATTTTCATACTTCACCCCGTGCGTGACAGCATGAGCATGCTGCAGAGCAAATTAGCCAACATGATTACTTGCTGAAAGCCACAGGGACTAAATCCCTTCATGGATGTAAACCAGCAAGCCAATGACCTGCAAGCTTCCTAAACAATGGTCGTAACCCACACACTAAACCCCACAATGTTTCTATTCCATGCAGCCTAGCCCCATTGTTTTGATAAAGAATGCCCTGCGCCACAGAGCTATCAGTACAAGTGCTGCTACCTCTTCAGCCTGTCCATTCTTCTAAAGGCTATTCCCCTACCTGTCCATTCTTCTGGAGGCTAAACCTCCATGCTTACCCCCTGCTCCCCCTCCTTTCAGTACCAGCTTGCAGAATAATTCTAACCTAACCCTTTCGCAGAAAGGTGGAGAGAAGGGGGTAAGTGTGGAGGAAGAAGATGTTGGTGAACGCCAGGCATAGTGGCAAAGCAGAGTTTTTTTAGACTCTCCTTCAAGTTCATTTTTGAGTCCTATAAGTAGACGGTAGACCAGAAAAGTATCATGGAGGTACTGTAAAATGGGGTAACTTAGACCAGCGGGGTAACTTAGACCACTTTGCGTTTTTTTAACAAAAACCCTCACAACTCAAAAACTATTTGACATAGAAAAATTTTGTCAATGGGCATTAAAGGCATGTTTCACCCTCAATTTAATGTAGCTAATGATATTGAATGGCATTATTCATACAAATCTGTATCTATTAAACTTTTACATTTTAAGATCTGATGGAAGTGGTGAGTGTCCCTAATAATACGAGGATGTATATAAAAACATTAATGATCTAGAAGCGGGCTTCAAAAAATAAACATTTCAACATGGCTTGGCTCTAAATAAATAAAGATCATTACTTGTAGTTTAATAAACATGAAGTCTCCCTTTTAAAAAGTTATATTTCGCTGGTCATCAAAGATCAAAGTTTATATCAACTATGTGAGTCGAACTAACAATAATAAAATGTAAGACATGTCCGGGTTACTTCTGACTCTTCCGCTTCTTGGATACAGAATATATGGTAATCGTAAACTGCGGCTATGATGATGATGATATCATCATCATCATAGCCGCAGTTTACGATTACCATATATTCTGTATCCAAGAAGCGGAAGAGTCAGAAGTAACCCGGACATGTCTTACATTTTATTATTGTTAGTTCGACTCACATAGTTGATATAAACTTTGATCTTTGATGACCAGCGAAATATAACTTTTTAAAAGGGAGACTTCATGTTTATTAAACTACAAGTAATGATCTTTATTTATTTAGAGCCAAGCCATGTTGAAATGTTTATTTTTTGAAGCCCGCTTCTAGATCATTAATGTTTTTATATACATCCTCGTATTATTAGGGACACTCACCACTTCCATCAGATCTTAAAATGTAAAAGTTTAATAGATACAGATTTGTATGAATAATGCCATTCAATATCATTAGCTACATTAAATTGAGGGTGAAACACAGGAATGGCAATGACTTTACAAAATTAGCGTCAAACAAGCAAACGGATGTCATGTTAACCGGAACTCGAACACCACAGCAGAGAGTATATATATATATTCTATGCAGCTAATGAATTTCACAAACTTTGCTGGAAGAGAGATTATTGAATTTTAGAAAAAGGCGGGATACTTCAATGAAGGGGGTATTACTTTAGATTAAGTGCATCCAAAAAAAGGGTGTTTTTTTAATTATGTTTTTTGGGGTGTAGATTAGGAATCTGAAATCCGTTTTTGGCGGTCGGCATCAGAAAACCAATTTTTTCTGATTTTTTATATATTTTTTATAGAAAACAACAATGGGGGACCTGTGGGAACTGAAGGTTTTGGGGGGGGCAGGGACACGCCCGAGGCTCTAATTTGTCGAAAAAATTGCAAAAATTGGCAAAATTGGCAAAAAATAGGATAAATCGAAAAATATTTTTTAACTGGAAATGATCTATATCAATCTGGGAATGACTGTAAACCTATGTAAAACCCAAAAATCACGCTAGGTTAGGTTAGGTGCGGGCTGGGTGGTGTGGAATAGCAGGTCGTTAAAATGACAAAATAAATTCCCACGTACCTGGCACATCTTCCCGACCATGGGGTTAGGTTAGGTTTTTCTGCCAATTTCGCCTGTTTTTTTTTGGCGAATTAGAGCTTCGGGGAAAAAAAATTTGGTTTTCCGATGCCGACCGACAAAAACGGATTTCAGATTCTTTATCTACACACCAAAAAACATTTAGTTAAAAAAACACCCTTTTTTTGGATGCACTTAATCTAAAGTATTACCATCATGGATACCAGCATTATCATATTTAATAAATTGGTTAAAATCTTGAGTGAATTGGGAAATTTAAAATGAACTGATTCTAAAAAATCTCTGGTTTGTCACTACTCACTATGAGTCTATGACTATGAGTCTATGACCCCAGGGCTGGGCTTATGCCTGCGGCCTGCGAAGTGCCAAAGTGGGCAAGGTGATGTGACAGTCCGGTGCAGGGCCGTTCCCATTTACAGCAGTCTGGTGCGGTCTGCGGACCCTGTGGCTTAAGGCATTTCTAAGAAGTGATGGTATGGGCTTAAGTCATTGGTGTAGGACTAGGAGCTATTGGGCATAATCTGTTTGTAGTATCAGCTTGTGGGCTGAGGCATTACTTGTTTCAAGCTGGTGTGGCGAGATGAGGTTATTGAGGCATGTATGAACAGCTGCATAGGTGCTAGGCTGACTATTTCTATTGCATGTACCTAGACATTGTAGAGGGTTGGCATTGGCTCTTGGGCTGATTTAAGGGAAGAGTCTGGCCCGGTCTGGGTCAAAATAAAAAATTTCGACTTTTTTGGTTTTTATACTCATCTTAAAGCTTAGCCTACATTCTGACGCATCTAACGGTACCAAAAACCATCTCTGTACGTTGATTTATGCGTTCATGACAGATTGCGAAAGGGTTAGGGGTTTTGGAGTTCCTTAACATTTAAATATAGGCCTAAATTACTGGTAGCACACTTAAATAGCTAGTCTGAACACGCTGTACTTCAGTTATCCGCCTGCAGTCATATGGGATGGTTCTTGTGCCGTCGTTTGCAGCATCCTTGACAGAAATTGAGCTCCAATATCATGTAGTCTTACAACCTTGCACCCTTGAATGTCTTTTTCGAGGCGCGCGCAACTTTGTTGGGCGTCGGGCCCTACTGAAAAGTTAACTTATAGTCACTGCAAACCTATCTCCTCCTAGAGTTTTGAAGCTAAAACCATTTGATTTGGAAAAAAAAGATCTACAACAGTGCGTAATTAATTCATAGTGGCAAAGCAGAGACTTTTTAAAGAATCAGTTCATTTTTAAATTCCTCATTTGTTCAAGATATAAACCAATTTCTTATCATTATGTATGATGATGCAGTTGATGCTGGTATTGGTATGATAATGGTATCCAATCCATGATACTTTACTGGTCTACTAATAAGACTCAAAAATGAACTTGAGGGAGAGTCTAAAAAAATTCTCTGCTTTGTCACTATGGACTGTGTGTGTGTATGCGTTTTTCTAATTTCGTTATAGTTTAGATTTTATTCTGCAAAAAGGAGGAGGCAGGGGGCAAAATCAAAAAATTTCTGAAAACTTTACAATATATGCTCCCACACCCACATAAATGAGAATTTCAAAAAACGCATACACACTTCTTTAGATATGGTCTTTATATATGCATCGAATGATAGGGACGACTGAAATAACCCAGCATTGCCTAATACCAGCATACTTTTCATACTTCACCCCGTGCGCAAGCATGCTGCAAAGCAAATTAGCCAACATGATTACTTGCTGAAAGCCACAGGGACTAAATCCCTTCATGGATGTAAACAAGCAAGCCAATGACCTGCAAGCCGCCAAAATAATGGTCGTAACCCACACGCTAAACCCCAAAATATTTCTATTCCATGCAGCCTAGCCCCTTCCCCACTTTTGATATAGAATGCCCTGCGCCACAGTGCTATCAGTACACTGCTACTTCTCCAGCCTGTCCGTTCTTCTGGAGGCTAAACCTCCACGCTTACGCCAAGTTGCCAACACTGGGACAAATTATATCCCTTTACCATATGGCATATAGTACATATCCTATATACTGATATTATTATAGTGATATAGGCCTTATAGGGTTTAGGTAGGTAGACAAAATAAGGGAAACATATGAGAAATCTACAAAAAAAATTATATTATAGTATTGTGTAGGCCTAGATCCACTTTTTGTGACAAATACAGCCTAGATTTTCCAATATATTGAATATTAATTCATAGAAATTGTGAACAGTTCCTAATGATTTTAACCTATTTTTACAACACTTCTCTTCAACTTCACTTCTTGTTTATCCGTTTGTCTGTCTGCTACAAATCTTGTAATCGAAATCTAACATACTTCTACAGTTCTACTTATCCTATCCATCTGAAATTTTGCATACTTGTTTAAAGTTGGAGACAATGCATGAATCAAATGTCAGAATAAATGATTTTAAAAATGAAAAAAATATTTTTTTTAATATTAAAAAATTGAAAAAAATAATTTTGTCAGCTACAAATCTTATAACTGATATTTGACACACCTTTACGTGTCTAATTGATCTGAAACTTTGCACACTTGTGTGAAATCAGAGGCAATGCATGAATGATGAATCAATTAACAGAATAAATAATTTTGAAAAAAATTTATATACTAAAAAATTTATATGTATTAAAAATTGAAAAGTTAATTTTTTTAATTTTTGAAAATTAGATGAGAAATTCATTGTACCGTAAAATGGGGTTACTTTGACCGGCGGGGCAACTTTGACCACTTTTCGTTTTTTCAACAAAAACCCCCAAAACTCAAAAACAATTTGACATAGAAAAATTTTGTCAATGGCCATCAAAGGCCTAATACTGAGGCTACGTAACACAGTGTGGAATTCTAGAGGGATATTAAATTAACCAGTACACATGGCATATTGGAAAGCAGGACCTGAAAGCTTGGAAAGGCCAGGAACTTTCCACTTTCAGTCCATTTACTCCATTATATTATATACATAACCTATCACTTTCCAGCTTTGATTGGTTGATGGGATTGTGATTTTAGCCCCTTCCAACTTTCCAGCTGAGATTGGTTAATGGGGATGCTTTCAAGCTGTGATTGGTTAATGGGGATGCTTTCAAGCTGTGATTGGTTGTGCCCATAAGCCCCGCCCCCAAATATGGTATATGTACAACAGTACTGGTTAACTAAATACTTAACAAACTTGATCAATACAAACAAAAAGCCTGGATAATTTTCAAAAAATCCATTAAATAAAAGAAAAATAGAAAATATCTATCAAACAATTTTATAACAAATCTGAGATACTATACAGATAATACAATTGAAACAGTTTGTCCACTTTTGATCCTCCTTTCCATTTATAGTCAGTCACATGGCAGAGCACTGTATCAAAGGAAAGCATTTCACCTTGGTTGGAAAGCTTTTTTATAAGTGAACTTCCATTCCTAGAATTCCACCCTGACGTAACACAATAGAAAGATTTAAAAAGTTTGCATATCTAATAGGTTAAAAAATTATAATGTGACCCACGAAAAAGAGCTATTATTTAAAGCCTGTCGGAGTACCCCCTCCAATTGTTTTATTTTTTGGTAAAATAATTCCAGGTTTTGATGCATTGTAGTAGAACTCTTCTAGACTTCTTTTTACATATGCAAAAGACAAATTTTAGGAAAGTGTCATAGTTTGCAAATGGGGGGCGCCGCCCCCCATGGGGGAACTTTGACCACCTAATGGCAGCCGTGACAGGGTAACATTGACCGGCTTGGAAATTAAGTAAAATTACCATAGGTAGGGTAAACGCGGTATATTCCGACACATTAAGGACGCATCAAGAAATGAAAAACTATAAAAAAACTACTGTATGCGTTATGTAACTTCTGTTGGCTTCACGTGACTCACAAATCACCGGACTACGCGTCAGCAACGATGAAACGTCACAAAATGTTGCCATATTTATCAAAAAGCCTTTAGAATGGAAACCTACTAAATCCCTATATTCCGTCACTGTGTGTGGCAATATTCGACATGTGGTGAGTCGTATTGCGATCACAGACGTATTTAAAAGTCTCAAACCATAATATTCTTTCTATAAAAACAGTTATTCACTATTTGGTAGAGCCATGTCAACTGTCAAATTTGACACTTTTTTCGATGATCTCACTGGGTAGTGTGCATTGTCTCTCTTTGGATCTCAATATTTTCCCGCTAGATGGCCAAGACCTAGTGTTTTGGCATTAGTTCGATCATCGATGCACAAATGTATGACGTCACCATTTCAACCATCAACGAACGCATGGAACTAAACAAAGCTTAATATAAAGGAAAAACTAGAGAGGTGACGCAATTACCCACAATGTCGGAATATACCGCATTTACCCTACCAATATAACATTTTATGTTTGATACACCTATTAATGTTTTTTTCTTTATGTTTCAGACTCTACAGTCTTGTATATGGTAATTTTAGCTTAATTTCCAAACCGGTCAATGTTACCCCGTCACGGCTGCCATTAGGTGGTCACATTTTGCCCATTGGGCTTGGGGGGTGGTGCCTTCCATTTGCAAACTACCATGGTCAGGAAGATGTGTCAGGTGCGCGGGAATTTATTTTGTCATTTTAACGACCTGCGCGGTGCGCCGTACTACGTTGGTAAAAAAATGCGCCGTGCGCCGTACACGCGAGTATATTGACTACGCGAGTCGAACTGACAATAATAAAATGTAAGACATGTCCGGGTTACTTCTGACTCTTCCGGTTGTCCGCCTTGTCGGATACGGAACGTACGGTAATCGTAAACTGCGGCTGTTATACATACGAAATGTAAACAGTCGGTGTTCAGTGTTGCCATATGACTTTGGAGAAAATTTCTTCTAAAATAAAGATGGCCGGGATTGCGCGAACACTTGTACGAAGAGAATCAATTTTCATTACATTGCGCCAAACTGCCAACTGTGCACTGTGCACAGCAATAGCTTAAAAAAAGTGAAAATGCGCGGGAAAATTCACCGAAAACATACATCATCCTGACTCCTGAGTGTGGGCAAACTATGACACTCTCCTAAAATTTGTCTTTTGCATATGTAGGTAGGCCTAACTAGAAGACAAGAGTTCTACTACAATGCAGTGAATGCACCACAACCTGGAGAGGCTGGAGTTATTTGGAGTCATAGTGGCAAACCAGAGCTTTTTTAGAATCAGTTCATTTTTAATTTCCTCATTTACTCAAGATTTGAACCAATTTCTCAAGTATGATAATGCTGGTATCCATGATACTTTACTGGTCTACTTATAGGACTCAAAAGTGAACTTGAGGGAGAGTCTAAAAAAACTCTCTGCTTTGTCACTATGTTTGGAGTTAATCTACTAAAAAATAAAATTGATTTTACCACCCGGTCAAAGAAACCCCAAGAGCTGGGGTAACAAAGACCATCACTCTTTTTGAAATTAGGTACATCAAAACTATGAGAGGCAGGAGCCAGCAATTTATGGTCAGTAAAGCTTGAGTATAGACCTGTATTTTGCATGTTTCAATTTAAGTTCAACTTATCTAGTAAAAAAATAGCATCATTAAAAAAAAGTGGTCAAAGTTACCATATTTTACGGTAGGCCTACATCAGTAAGATTGGATTCTGGAGATACCTACTGGATTCTTTGGAACTTGGAAGTGTCTTTAAAAAGTAATTTTTAAATTTATATTATTTCAGTAGCCTATGTTCACTGTTCAGATCAGTTAAAACTCCTCCAGTTTTAGTTCTACCTCAGTCACTTCACAGTTCACGGTTCACACTTGTAGACAGAGACGGGGCACCAAGCTCCTCTCTTCGATCAGAGATTTGCCATACTCCGCCAGGCTGGAAGCGTTGCGTCTCCCCTGTCTTGAGCATAGGCGCCTGCGGGGTGACCTTATCGATACGTACAACTGTACAAGTACGTACATGGACTGTACAGGGTGTTAAAAACTTTGACTTGACTTTGACTTTGACAATGCGATTTAAGGTCCCTGACGGTCCTGTTTATCGGTCGACAACAATTTTTATCAGCACCGCGCCCGTCGCAGTGTCTGTTCCAAGATGATCAAAGCCTCATCACTCGTAGCATGAAGGGCTGTACAGGGCCGGGTTGTCCCTCCAGAAACTGTCAAACCTGCTCTTGAAGCTGTTTACAGATGGTGCTGTTACGACTGACTCTGGCAGACTATTCCATGAGTTAATTACTCGCTGTGAAAAGAAGTTGCTCCTTACGCTGAGTCGGCATCTGCCTTTTGCGAGCTTCAGAGAGTGGCCTCTAGCATAGTGACAAACCAGAGATTTTTTAGAATCAGTTCATTTTTAATTCCCTCATTTACTCAAGATTTAAACCAATTTCCTATGTATGATAAGTCTGGTATCCAGGATACTTTACTGGTCTACTTATAGGAGTCAAAAATGAACTTGAGGGAGAGTCTAAAAAAGTCTCTGCTTTGCCACTATATGTCTATGGTAGGTACCTAGCTAGTCATCTCTTCTGCATAAACTATAAAGGTAAAACCGTAAAAGAGATGCATAGACAGGATGAAAATTTTCATCACGTAGTTGTTTGTAGTAGAATTTTATCATCAAGTATATTAGTGAAGCTCTAATGTTGTTAGTTATATGAGGGATTAACTTTCATTAAGATGACACAAGTTGCCACTTGCCACCGGGCCACCCTATTCCTAATTACACTTTGTCACTGGCATGCTAAGTTCACATTAGTATCAGCTGATAACTGCATTTGAACAGGTGGCTCACACACTGGCAGTGATAATGATAAGATTTTAACAAGACTCCATGGAACTGTCAAAATTTTCCTCGTCAGTTGTGTACCGATTGACCTTGAGGATGGCTTGTATTGGTTCCTTATTCATATTTTTCAAGATTCTCTCAGGGTACTTCATTTATTCTAGTGAAGCTGTTAACCCATCATTGCCTTTAGTTATCAACACTTGGCACTTCACAAACGCAACAGCTCGAGGTGAGTTAAAGTAGCTAACTTAGGGAATAAAGGAATATGGTTTCCCGCTTTCCCCAGATAATTGTTAGATACTTAGTGGACACGTTAATTTATCGCAAAACTATGAATTAATTGTCCACCAGCTGGCCCTTCCCTTTAGTTAGGTTTTAAACGGGAAAAATAAAAATGTACCGGTACATCAATACGTTTGTAAGAGCTGACGTCTATGTTTTATCGCAATCAGTCAATGAACCGATACCCAGTAGCCTTATTTTGGACATAAAAAGTAAACAGACAAACTCGGGAAAAGATAAAGAAAACAATGATTTAATGTATATGAACAATTTATTTTATCACAGTCTGTGCTTTCTTGTAGCGAATGGAAGTTTCACAGAAAACTCTAGTACCTACCGGCAAGTGGAGGGAATACTCATTTTGTTGAAACCTATACTATACTATAGTAATACCTATATAGGTTTATACTATACTTGTATAGTATAGTATTGTATATAGTATAGTATACTATACTAGTATAGGTTTATACTATACTATAGTATAAACCTATACTATCAATGGCTAGAGTCTATAGCCATTGATTAGCCCCTTCTTCAACAACTGAAAATTCAGGATTTCACGTTTATTTTAGACTTACGATACAGCAATGAAATAACTTAAATCAGATATATGTGATTTTTTTGTATTTAGAATCAATTCAGCTTTGACAGTAAATTTTTTCTCATAAGCGGAATGAATTTCAATTCAATAGTCCTGACCTTGAGCTGCTGAGCTGGGTAGTGGGTAGTAGAACTTAGAATGCTGCATCATTAAAACTTATTTTTGCACCTGCGGGAAGTGCAACTTTCGACTATATTTGTCGCTTTATTGCGCCAAGATAGGTTATTGCTACGACTTATTCTTATATTTTCATAACATAACATAGTGATGTCGGCGCTGAAGTGTAGGCCTGATGTGGCCTGTCGCCGATTCTTTTCCTTTTCGTGCCTTGTTCATAGATCTAAACTCGTGTCATTTGACCGGATCTTTTCATGACTGGCGATAGTTTGAAGTAGCTACTAGACTTCCACCGGGTTCGATAAGGAGCTAGGCATTTCAAATCTGAACATATATTTTTCCATAGCTTTATCTAGTCTGTTCTTGAACGCGTTCATACTTGGAGCGCCAACGATGTCATCCTCATCGAGGAGGCTGTTCCACATGTCGGTGATTCGAAGCGAGAAAAAATTTTGTCGCGTGGAGAATACTTTTGAATGATGAAACTATAAGTAACAAACAGCATAAAACAATAGAAAATTGGGCACGAAAAAAATATCAAGACTGCCCACCTTTAAACAGCCACGAGTCGTAAGCCGGTATAAGAATCACTATCTGTATTTATTTCACCATCTAGGTACAAATTCTAGGTTTAAAGAGACTCGAAAGATAAAATCTGATACGATTCCTTAAATTTTCCCTCTAAGAGCACGTCTTGCGGGGTCCGTTCACTATAATTAACTTTTTGGGCTTTATTAGCGATGCGATTTTTGGTCAAACTTTTTTATAGACATTCGATAAATTATACATTTAATGTCACACATCTTATCTCTCAATTCCAGCCCGATTTCCTCCCTGGAAAAATTTAGAGTGATCAGGCAGATTAATTTGTTGAAACTTTGGAAACGAAAAATTTGATTGAAAAAGAAAAACGAAAAGAGCGTTGATTGTCAGTCGATGTCCCGACCAGAAAAACGAACTTTAAAACGTTTCGAAAATACTAGCTAGGGGTTTTTGATTCGACAGCAAAGGAATACGCTTTATCACGTGGAAGGACTGCAGGAGCAAGAGAGGATTAATTTCGTAATTTCTCTCCAGCATGGGCACTTTTGAGCGAGGAAGGAGGCAGTGTTCTGGACGCAGTGGAGCAAGGATGCGCAGTATGTGAGCGAGAGCAATGCGACTTCACCGTGGGCTATGGCGGCAGCCCGGACGAAAATGGGGAAACTACGCTTGACGCTCTCATTATGGATGGGTACAACATGATGAAATGGCTCTAAATATAGAGAATATATAATAGATGACTTTTCAAGTTATCATATGTTCTGTGATCGATGAAGCTACGAGATTTAATTATAGAGTTCGTGTGTTATGAGTTCCCATGAAAATACACTTCAGTAATTATGAAATAAATTCTTCATTGGGTCATGAAATATTTACTTTATTCTGATAATTGGCAGCGAGAAGGGACAGGATATGCAAAATAATAGAATTCAATTTTCGCCGCTTAAATATTTTTCTGACTATTGCTAATTTCAGGTAGGTACTGACAAATTGTTAGTGAATTGTGAATGTCCGAACATTCAGTTTTGGCAAAAACCAACTGTGACTGTTCCGTTTCTTTTTAAAAGTCTAATTAAGTACGTTTAAACTTTTTTACAAGCATCGTAATAAGTTTATCGTTCAACAGCAAAAACAGTCCGGACTCGCAATATTCCTGCCAAACTCTTGTATAATTAAACTTTTAAATTACTGAAGAGTTCAGCTAAAGCTTGCTCGTAATTTAATACGTAAGATAATTTAAAGCCAATTTGATTTTGCATATTTTGCAGAGCTACCCACGACGTGGGGGCGGTTGCAGCTCTACGACAAGTGAAGGACGCTATATCAGTGGCCAGACACGTTCTTCAGTATACTGAACACACGCTGCTTGTGGGCAGTCAAGCGACTGAGTTCGCTGTCTCCATGGGCTTTAAACTGGAAAATTTGACTACGCCCAAGTCACAGGAGATGCACAGGTCCTGGAAAGAGCAAAACTGCCAGCCTAATTTCTGGAAGAATGTTGTCCCTGATCCCAGCACTTCTTGTGGGCCGTACGCGCCTGTTTCGTCAATGGCAAGCGGCTGGACTAATGACCAACGAGCTTCTTTTGATCGTTATAATCACGACACCATAGGCATGATAGCCATTGATAAAGACGGCAAAATTTCATGTGGAACATCCACAAACGGGGCTCGGAATAAGATTCCTGGACGAGTCGGAGATTCGCCAATTCCAGGCAGCGGTTGTTACGTCGATAGGAACGTAGGAGGCGCCGCAGCCACCGGGGATGGTGATGTTATGATGAGACTCCTGCCTGCTCTGATATCCGTTGAGAAGATGCGTGATGGATATTCACCAGAAGAAGCTTCAAGAATGTCCCTTCAAAGAATCATTGATTACTATCCCAATTTCGAAGGTGCCATAGTATCCGCCTCTTTGGACGGGCGGCATGGAGGAGCTTGTAATGGCTTCACAACTTTCCAGTACAGTTTGGCGGACTCAGAAAATGGAGTCACAACGGTTGATGTTTCTTGCTCATGAATGATTTACTATTTATATAGTTAGTGCGTGATGACTATTTTACTATTCATGCTCGTTATGTAATAAATAAATAGAATTTAATGACGTTAGAAGTCGAGTTTACATACGACTATTTCTCCTTTTACTACAATTAATTTCTTCACCACCGCGATGTTTTATGAATATAGTAATTTTATTATTAGGGGTTTGACACCGTGTTATTTACAGGTTTCATTTCAAATTAAATGCATCAGTTGAGTTATATCAGTTTCTTCAACCCTGTCAAACTAACGTGTGATAAAAATTTAAAAGTTCTGAAAATTGATATTTGTAATTACCCTGGTATTAAAGACACAATTTTAAACATAGATATTTAATCTTGAAGCATGACTTTATTTCGTATTTTCTTGCAGGTTCGTACTCTTTACGTTCGTACGTTCGTACTCTTTTTTTTCGTACTCTTTAAAATCAACAACTCGTGACATTTGGAACATTTGATTGGAATTTTCTTACCGTTTAATCTCAATGAAATCTTTGGGACACGAAGGTTAAAAATTTTGATCGGTCAACCGTGATATTTATATCCCAAATGCAAGTCTTGAGCTTCATTAAAATCTTCCACAAAAACACCACCTGGAGCTCGGCCAGCAATTATCGGAAAACATCAGAGCTGTGATAAATAAGCAAGACGCAGCTCCAGCCATCCAAACGCTTGGCCTCAATAACACACCAGAGGCCATACTTTCAAAATTCGCTAAGTGGACTTTAGTACTTATACGCTCTTTTTTCTTGTCTGTGATTGGTGGATTTTGCTTGTAAGGCCGTCAATGATTGGCTGATGAACTTACGATCTCTTAACTTTTTTTGAAAGTATAGGCCCTCAGAACATCACAATATACCGAATTTCGTTACTAATTCTCCAACTAAAGAAATGCGTGTAGAAGGGCCGTTAAAAGCTAAATTTCACATAAAAATTCGTCTCTTCTCCAGTTTCGAAGTTTGATTACTTTTTTGCCAATATGATACGTACTGAATAAAATAAAACAACGTAAATAAGTATTCCATATACAACATGTTTGGCAATGCCTCGTCATGATTACCCAACTTAGAATAAAATTTCAGATCAAGTTGGTCGCACATCACAATACAGTCACAAAAAGTTTTGGGAATACGCGCTTGAAAAGCCGTACATATTTTTACTGCGACTGCCCTTGAGCACTCAAAGAAGTAACTAGTCACAAAAATTTGGACGACATGTTTATGACTATAGATTGGGTTTAAGAATGAACCCGATGGCAAAGGCATAGCAAATATAAAAACTACACAACGCTCCTTATGCACTTTTAGCTTCTTTGGCACGGTTTAGGCAACACAATCAGTAAGTTTTTTTTTTTTAAACTTGCCTTCTATATATATCATAACATAACATAACATAGTGATGTCGGCGCTGCAGTGTAGGCCTGATGTGGCCTGTCGCCGATTCTTATTTTTCGTGCCTTGTTCACAGAAGATCTAAAATCGTGTCATTTGACCGGATCTTTTCATGACTGACGATAGTTTGAAGTAGCTACTAGACTTCCACCGCGTTCGATAAGGAGCTAGGCATTTCAAATCTGAACATATATTTTTCCATAGCTTTATCTAGTCTGTTCTTGAACGCGTTCATACTTGGAGCGCCAACGATGTCATCGGGGAGGCTGTTCCACATGTCGGTGATTCGAAGCGAGAAAAATTTTGTCGCGTGGAGAAGTTGCAGCGCAATTTTTTTAGCTTATAGCCGTGGCCCCTGGTGTTGGTTCTTGTTTCAAATTCTAGTAACCCTTCAGGGACCTTGTATAGACCATGAGTATAACGAACTAATCCTGATTGATTAGACCATTGCTGAAAGCTCTTGCTTCGATCTGGCAGTACATTGGAGCGTATATACATACAAAATCTAGTGCATATAATTGTTTTCTTAACAGAAGCATCTGCTTTGCGCTTGCATAAAAAAACACTGTGAACGGAACGCCATGAATTGTATGTTAACATTCGAGCCTTCTATTTCATAATTACTCTCCGTATGATAAACTATATATTAACACCTGAGCATTTATCTTTGAATGTCTGAAACGAATTTATGGAAATGGATTTTGAGCCTGTAACTTGAATGCGCAGTTAATTGAATTGCTCACTATATATATATAGGAATGTAACCGATATTTAAAAAATAGATTAACAGTTGGCAGTATTCACATGAGCGGTCCTGTACTTGGTAAAACCAAATATTTCCTGAGCCATAACCCAAGGTAATATTATTCTGCCATGCAAATGCGCGTCCAACAGAAATTGTGCTTGTGCAAAACACGGGATTCAGTAATTGCCTGGGCAGTCAAATCAAGTCCGGAGCGCATGCAATTCATATTGAAAACATTGAAATTTATCTTTTGTAACGCGTACCAAATATGTGTTTGCATTCGAGGTAATTTTAGAAGAATAGAAGCCAACCGCATACTTGCGTCCATAGCTTCACTGATAATGAAGCTTTTCTCTTAAAAAATAAGTTCAAGATGAACGATTGCTAAAGTTTCAAGAGAATGCGAGACTTACATGTTAATTTTGAAGCTTGGGCAGCGACATTTGCATGGTAATTTCGAACGCCTCATCACAAATATAGACCAGATGTCAGCTCTGAGCTGCTCTTTCCTGATAAAAACGAAGCTCTCAAGACAAGTCGCACCCATCACAGGGCCCTCATCGGTGAATCCAAGCCGTTGAATCACAATCGAGTGGGAGTGCCGCGCAGCATTGGCATATTAGAATAGAATAGAAGTGTCGGCATTGAAGAAATAGGCCCATGGCCTGTTGCCGATTCTTGAACTTTTCGTGACTTGATTCACAAGGGATCCGGCCTTTGGAACCCGATCTTTCCATAACTGACGATTGATTCAGATAGCTGCTGGACTTATTGCCTGGTCCGTAATTTGCTAGGCATTTTAAGACTGAACATATGCCAGAAGAGCTGAGCTCAAACCAAGCACATCTGACGCGGTGCATATGCTTAGGCGACGGTCGGTTGAAGGCGGACCAGGAAATGTATATGTTCAGTCTCTGGCAGTGGCCCAAAACACGAACAACTCAGGCCACGTCCCGCTCGCGTCGGAATTTTCAGCGTGTATCCCAATAAAGTTTTGGAAACTTTTTGTCGTCCTTATCTTCGCTCACCCTTTCAAAAGTTTGATGGCGAGAATAATCAGCTGTTTTTTACGTTGACATCCTGTCCTAATGTTCCTTTCTGGAACTCCAAAGAGAGACTGCCAGCTAGGGCTGTTTAAATGCTCAAATACTAAAAACAATTCAAAAACTGAGTAAAAATAATTCAATAGTGCAAGTGTAAAATAGGACTGGCGCCTTAAAATTTTCTGAATAACTTCAAAGCTACTTATGTCATTAGTCTTCTTAAATCGCGATTTCAAGATACTTGGTGGCATTTCTGGTGGTTCAGATTTCCAGGATTCTAGAATTGCTGAATATTTTTGAACGGAAACCGTGTCACAACAACATATACAATATTATTGTACATTGTGCAGATCGTATCATCCTGCAATTTTTAAAGCGATAAATTTTTATTTTCTGCGTACGTTTTCTGTTCTTTTAGCTTTTAAATTTTTTTGTGTATATGAGAATTTTCACAGCTGATTGTACATGAATTCTCTGAACTTTTTTTTCAACTGATGATGGAGCTAATCTCCAATACTTTTTCATGCATATATAACCATTATATTTGGTGTTTTCTTTGCTTTTAATTTACTGTTCAAATTAAGCCACCTTTAGCTTTGTGCGTCTGCCACGTAGATAAAAGTAATACAGTATTAAAATTATTTCGATACGTATACACCGCCTTCAAGTAGTAAACAAGAAGAACATCATGTTTACAAAACCAGTATACGAGTCATAAATATTCGAGAACTAACTTACATAGAAAATCTTACGATGAAGACGTCCGCCCTCGAGTGCTCTGTGGGTCCGTTACGTCGAGGGCAGATTTTTAACCGCAGGCTCTAATCTAATTGCCACGGAAATTTGTTTTAATAAAGAGGCAATTACGGAAGCTCTCATCTAATCGGAACAAATGACTGACTCGAGAAGCCGTTCATTTGCTGGCAGAGGAACGAGCTGCTAACTCACTTAACTGAAGAACTGGGAGTTTTATGCAAGAAAAATGTTACCACAAACAGAGGAACTTAAATTCATATTCTTCGTGAATTCAAAATTTAATTCATATGCATCGTGAATTCAAAAGCATAAATCCAATCGCACCGAAACATGTGGGAGGCTCAGAATACTTGAAAAAATACAACAAAACTATCAGGTGTATTTCTCGGTGACTATAATACAGGAAACAAAGAAGATACAAAATGTTTATAATCGTTAAATTATATCGGTCATCATGGCTCACTTGAGTGAGTTAATTTAATTTTAGCTGGTTTCGACAGATGAATGTGGCTCTTTAACCCAATTCATGAATAATGCATTATTTGCCAAATTTGAAGATTAATGCACCTACAGAATGAACTGAACTTGAGCGAACATAAAATATCTTTAGGAAACCTGGCCTGACCGTCGGAGAAGCTGGCAAAAATTCGATATAATAATAATAATATAATAATAATAATAATAATAATAATAATAAAGAGTTAGTAGCATAAACTTTAATCGATAAAGGACCACATTGAGCATCTTTAGCTTGGTATATATACATATACTCTAATTTTAGAGTCACATTTTGCCTAATGTGAACTGGTACGACCAAGTCAACACGTCTACATTAATTATTGTCCGAAAATAAACGAACTCTTTTGACAGACTTGGTATTTTTGGGTTACCTTGACTAAGCCCTGACTCACTATAGTACGGGTCGTCACCAGCCTAACGCACAGCCGTGACTCACTTAAGTGAGTTATGTCATGAAGAATCACAAAAAAGCAAATGCGTCAGAAAGTGCGTTAAATTCAAGACAAATAAAAGACAAAAAAAATATCAAATAAAAATGACCGTTAAATTCAAGACCCTAATGGGTCATTGCGACCCATTAATTGTGCCGCATGTGCATAGCGTTAACCATCACAGACAAGTCTCGACCGCACAAGCGTTCAGATTTCTAGTTATTGTAGCCACAGAAAACTGTATTTAATTAATTACATTTTGACTTGAAATTTTTTTCCATTATTTACATTTTTTAACAATTGGAAAGTAATAAATAATATTCATATTCTTAATGCTAATATTAAGCAACTCGAAAGGTAATCACCTATCATGCCATGTTACCGCG